ATGTTAAGGCATTGAAGCATTGTGTCCTTGTTCTGGCGAATCATTCACTGTTTTGTGTCACAATACATTAACTATTAAAATACATATAAATCACGCATCCATTCTTAATCCTTCTCTGAATTATACCTTAGTCCTCCTCCACCATCATCACAGATGCTTCTTCCAACATCTGGTCAACACTTAATGGCTCATCCTGAAGCAGATCTTTGATGAGGGTTGACCAGGCCATGTTCCGGCAATAAATGCTTGTTTAGACAGCCCTGTTTGTTATGGGAGGTAAAAGGAGAGCCATGGATCACGCTGAAAGGGCCAACACTATCACAACATTTGCTCTTATCAGATGACAAACTGAGTAAAAGGGGGTCAGATTCCCAGTTCCAGAAGCTGGCCTGGGCTGCAGTCGTCTCTCTGTCCACATCACAGGACGTGCGATTAACACATTACTACAAAGAAAATTTTAAAAATTTCACTCGTTCTCTTAAGTAAAAGTGACAACCCTCCAGCCATCATTAAGGATCAATGTTTAGATGCTGTTTTTTTTTTGTTTTTTTTTTAGGAACAAAATTATTTACATTTTTAACCACATCTTGCTGCATTCATTCTCTTCTTAATGTAGTTTCAGTACTCTAAAATGTATTTAAATTAACTAGGTAACAAATCATTCAACCATTATGATTGGTATTAGAAGAAAGTTGTTTATGTATATTCATTAAATACATGGAGTTTTACTAAAACATAAAACAATTATGTGATGCATTGAAGTGATTTGTTAGCCAACAGAGGAAATGCATATTTGGTACAATCTGAAATCTGTTTTTTATATTTTCCTTGTGATATAGTTGCTGAAAAATACTCCAAGATGGCCATTTGTCATGCGCAGTTGGTTTCAGCATATGCCCTAAATTGTGTCTAAAATTGTGCACTTACTCTATGCCCAGTTCCTAGTATAAAGCTGGATAAAAGTTTAAAGCAGTTGTTGTTATAAAACAACAACTTGTTTGCCATCTTTAACATGTTCAATAGTCTTTATAAGAGTATAACAGAGGACGTGCTGGGTTAATCAGAAACCCGCACAATGCATGGAATCACAGCAGTCAAAGCAATATCAATGTATGGAGCATCACAACTGCCCACTAAAAATTGAAAGCAATATTTAGTGAGTCATAATATTTCAGGTCCATGTGTCCCTTGACATCTTTAACTACTTTCTGAATTTTAGTTTAGTCTGACTTTTAACTTTAACTAAATTGTACACATTTGTACATTTTTTTCTTTGTTTTTCTTCTTTCAGTTATTCATATGGCTTTTAAACTAATAGAAAAAAAATATGTGTCACTTTGGCATTGATTTGTGCCACTGACAAAAAAGTTTTTGATCAAACTGTTATTGCAGTTTGAGTTTTGTTTTAAAATTGTATTTATTTATTCCCATGTGTTGAAACCCCTTCAAAATGATTATTTTACCAACAATTTTGAATGATTGAAAACCGCTTTCCACAAGTCGTGAAAAGATAGAATAAACACTATTGCTGCCTTTTAATACTTCCAGGGTCAGAAAAAAACCCTAGAAAACATTAATGTCTTCACAAATGAGAAATACAACAAACAGAACTTTTCTTTTAAAGGATTCTTTCACAGCTAAAACTGGCATTTTAATGCTAAAGGTAATTTCTTAAACAGTTAAGAATGAAGAAATTCATAATAAATAACTTATACATGATCAGGGCTGCAATTAGTTATGGCATTTTATCAAAAAAAGAGATTTTTATGTGCTTCACCATTTTTTTGTGCAGAAGCTCATAAAATAAAAGAACCCCAGAGATCACAGATTTAGGGCCAGTACTAATGTTAAAGCCGAATAAATATATACCGTGTCTGACTAATTATAAAAGTAACTTCTTACGCCAGACAACCCCATACTTTTTCAGATTTAATTTTCCAGAGTTCCTATTCCACCATTAAATATAAATTGTGCAAGTTTACTAAGAATTTATGGCAAACATTTCCACAGCAGATGGGTTTTAAATATTTAATCTGCAATAAACAAGAAACTAGAAGGAAGGAAGGATTGAAGAAACTAAAGACTCAAGTTGTGAACGAAAGTACAGATGCTAAAAAGAAAAGATGGTAGGAACAAGGAGAGAGGAAACTAAGACAGAAGGACACAAAGACGCATGGATGGAGGACAGGGAATGAAGAGGAAGGGAGCCAAGGACACAAGAAGGACACGGGGGGAGGGGGGGAGGAAATAAGTCTAGAAAGGTAAGAATGAAGGATACAAGAGTGCGATGTAGAAGTTAGAGATCAAGAAAGCAAGGACAGAGATAGCAAAAGAAGGACAGACATTATGAACGACAAAATGGTGTAGGGTTAGGATGGAGCACACATTGAAGGAAATGACAACCTACAGCCATAAAAAATACAGGAAGGAAGAAAACAAGGTCTGAACCATAATATAATTTTATATGATTGTCTCAACTGGCTCCACTTAGTTTTAAATGTTTCCCTTCCTGACACATTAACCTAATGTTTGCCACACAGGAGCATCGAGCGCTCCTGGAGAGGACATAAGAAAGAGCTTTGTTGTCTTCATCAGGCGTCCAGAGAGAGATCCACTTTACACAATGGAGCTGCTCCTCTCTTTTCCTCTCTGTAAAAGGTCTCAGGCACCTTGAATCCATTTGAGTGACAGCGTGACAAAGAGACTTCTTAATGTCCCGACGACGAAGCCTCCTCCTCTTTCCCTCCAAACTTCCTTACGGGGCGATCAGCTGTGTCCATCGTGCCCCCTCTTCCTGACCCCCAGGCGGCACTGCTTCATCAGCAGCACCCCTTCCCCCGTTGTCTCCCCCTCTGTCTCTCGCCACCCTCCAGATTAATAAGCACAGGGTTGCCCGCGGTGACGGAGCTCACACTTAAATCCCATCAGCCCTCCTTACAGCAGCAACCGGCCTTTTTGTCCTTATGGGACAAAGAAAGCAGAGTCACCCTTTGTTTGAGACTTGACCCCCACACACAAATCTTGCTGATGGAAAAAGGTGACAGTAAAAAACCTCCTTAGGCCTTCATTCAGAAACTATACCTTAAAAAGATTTAAAAAAAAAAAAAAAAAAACTTGGGCAGAAATTACAGCAAAGGCCAATCAAATAGAATAAGCAAAAATAAAAATAAATAAATTAATTAATTAATTAGAATTCATTTTCAGATAGACAAAAATTAAGTAGCATTTGGATCCAAAAATTTCCCAAACACCTTATCATGTCTTTAAACTGAACAGACACAATGAAGTTTGTCATCCATGGTGCCATGTTCCAAAGACTGTAACTCACAGTGAGTGGCCCAGTCAAAACCACTTTATTAACTGTCACGAGTTAATAAATTCAAAGCCACTGCAGAATCATTCACTATACATGAATCAGGTAAATGTTGTTTTTTCTTTTCCCACTTCAGACAAGATGTTAAGAGCTTAACATTTATCCACAGTAAAAAGACTTTCCCAGAAGGTTTCCTGTACCATCAGTTGCTCCAACAGTAATGCTCAGTGCTATGTGTCAAACTTTTAATGGATAAATCTTGTTTTATTCAATCTTACTATAATAATATTTGTTATGAGAAAATTAAAAACAAAAATAATAATAACAACATACTATCACCTATCCTTTCACAAAGATCCACAAGAAAAATGAGCGATTTCTCAAAAAAAAAAAAAAAAAAAAAAAACCCTCAAAAATAGAGACACACTAATCAGACATTTTTCTGGAGACTGCCAAATCAAGGAAAACAAACATGTGCTCCAGGGCCCACAATAGTGGTAGTTGTTTTGGACATTCTGCTGTGTCCACTTGGAGATGTTTTAGCTTTTGATCCCACAGCTTTGTGGGACAACTTGTCAAAATGTACAACCTCAGTCAAACTGCAGGACAGAGCTGAGAGATTTCATTGGATTAGCTCAATGTCCTTACAATATATTAACCAAAGGCCCCTCACAGTTGGTCAAAATATGCCCAGCCTAGGGCTGGCCCAGTACTGAGGCGTACTGGGCGTCTCCTCAGTACACTAGATGGTCAGTCCACTACTTGGAAAAAGCCGCCTGTACGCAATACCTCCAAAACAATTTGTAAAAACATGCAGGCTCACGAACAGTGTCCTAATTTTTTTTCCTGACTCTGTGTTCCAAATAGGCTTTTTAAAAAAATCTGAAGTGGGTTGCATGACATCCTTTCAAAAGCTGCTCCTCAATTGTTAATAGACACAAGGTTTCCTGTTTGCTTTCTGTTATCAGATTTTCACGTTGCTCTTGTATTTGCTGCAGTACTTGAGCTGCCAATGTTAACACAGTGGGAGCATGGAAGAGAAAAAAAATAAGGGAGCTAGAAAGAAAGAGAGAGAGAGAGAGAAAGAGAGCGAATGACCTCCACTGCCACAGAGGAACACCGAGTCCTCGCAGCAGAGCGCTGGGTCTTGGTCACCGTAGCCTTGGACAAGCTGCAGCAGCCTATGGGAAAGCCTTCTTGCAGCAGGCAGCCCTCTCCCCCGCAGCCCTGGCAGCGTCAACACAAACTGACCTTGTGCAGAATCCTGTTTGGGGTTGTGTTTGAATGTTTGTAATTCAGTGTGAGCAAGAGCAGGGAGCTTAGGGAATTATATATGTGTGCAAAAGGCAGAAATGCTGCTGCTAGGGTGATGTGGGAAATCTGGCTGGAAGCCTGAGTGTTTCCAGCTGTTGTCGGCGCAAATTCAGGCCGTTGTCATTATTGACGCTTAATACACAAAACTGGACACAGCCGTTAAGATGAAATCACAAAATGTTAAAACCTACAATTGTGAAAAAAAAAACAAAAAAAAAAACAGTTTTTTTTTTTTCTGCTTAAAGTGGACAAACTCAGAAAAGCTAAATCCTACATCTTTTAAGATATAAGTTTCTAGTATTGGATTAGCACATATTTGTAAGTGTAAAGTAGCACATATAATAAACTCTCCCTCCATTGTTTCATGTGAAGTGGATGGCTGGCAGCTTCCCCTGCAGCTGTGAGGATCTAATTTTAGCAGGCTTTTAGATGACTGAGTTCTACAGTTCAGCATGCAAACATTGAGGATGGCTGCTGCTATTGTTTATATTCTAGGTGAGTGAGGTTTTATTTATTTATTTTTATAAGTCTTGTGTTCTGCTATTTATGTTAGCAGAGTAATATCTATGCAACGGTAACTAGTTAGTAAGTCTGTTGATAAAATTACGATGTTTTTGTGTGTGTAATAGATCAACATAAAGGACTTCATAATTGTGAAGGGCATGGAAAATGACACAAGGCTTTCTGATTCACAAACAATCTGAAAAGTGTTGCATTGCATGCATCTTCTTAACGCAGTATTTGTAGAAGCACCTTTACCTCTGAAACCCTTTTCAGGTATGTGTTTATCAGTTTTGCACATCTAGAAACTGGAATGTTTTCCATTCTTCTTTTCAAAGTAGCTCAAGCTCATTTAGATTGAATGCAGAGCCAAGAAGAACTTGTAAAGTCCTGTCACATATTGTCTGTTACATTTACAACAGGCCTGGGCTTTCTATATTTAAAGGAAGGGATGCCCAAAGTATGGTTTTGGATTCACAATCATTTTACTCCCTTCTATTTTGTTTACTTAATGGGAATACTGCATGCTTAGATTACTACTGAGCACATAAAAGTCATGATATTAGCATTTTTTTGTTGTAAATTTTGTCTCTTTATAAAGATTTTGTGGGACCCACAAGTAATTTGACTTTAAGACATATAGCGCAAGTATTAAGAAGGTTGGAGACCTTTTGTCTTCAGGAGTTTATTAGTTTTGTCCACAATGAGATGTTTCTTGTGACGCCTTGCCTTGGGACACAAAATAGTGTCAGGTAAAACATATTTTTACCTGACACTGTATTTCTAATGAGATCCACTTCACTAAAATGTAAGACGTAAAAGAAGAAATAAAAGCAAAAAAAAAATAATAATAATAAAGCAGAAAGAATTTCTTTCAAACATCTTCCAGAGATTTTCATAGCAATAAAAGTTAATCTTATTTACATCAAAATTAAACAAGGAAATTGGCTTGCAAACAAGGTTCAGGTTAGACTTAACGTGGTTAATAGGTTGACTGTTAAATTCTTAATATGTCCAAAACTCTTAAGCCCTAAATCAATGAAATTAACATACTTAGACTTAAAAAAAATCTATATTTTTCCTAATAAGTTTTTTTTTTCCCAGCTATGTTGGAAATCTTGCAGTGACGTCTAAAATATGCCTATTTTCTTGTTTTCTCTCTTTCTCATCTGTTCTACACTCTGATCTTTAGCATTTTGTGCAATGCCATTTGTGTCTAGTGTGAGCATCTGCTTCCATAAAACTGTCCAGCTGTACTAATATTAGCATGCAAATTCAAGTTATAACACTTTCAACACACTAGCCACCAAAAATGAAACTTCAAACAGTCCTGCAACATATGTATATTGCAAACATTTATACTGCCTTGACAATATCCAACGCCTATAAAACATATTTACCCTTTGGATGTTTGGCCCTTTTACATCTTTACAAATCATGATCATCAAAATTTGGCTATTTCTAAGAAAGTATATTACAAAAAAAAAAGAAAAGTTTAATTTCAATGCGAAAACTGATTTCTACAAAATAATGCCAATTAAAAAATATGGTATTCCATAAATATTCACCCCCTTCAAGTCAGAATTTTCTAGATGCATCTTTGGCTGAAATCACATCATGAAGTCTGTAGGTCTCAGCCAGGCCCGCACATGTATACACCTTAAAACTTCCAAAACTCTTCTAATCCTGTCATGTTACGGCTGAGAAACGGCCCTTTCAAGTCCTGTCCTCAATACAGTATTGGATTGAGGTCTGGGCTTTGACTAGGCCACTAGTCTCTCCCATCTCAGCTGCTGAAGCTTATAAATCTTTCAGCTTTTTGTATTTTTCCGCTGATATTTTACCGATTTCTCAGTGCTGATGAGCTCCAGGTTTTTGAGGTTTGAGTGCAATCCCTGCCATCATCCAAGTTTTTAGCTCCCTCCACAGATTAAGGGATCAGATGTATTACTCCCAGTCAGAAATTTAAACTAAGATTAGTTTAAACCTAGATTTATTAGAGGCATTGATAAATTTAGGCTTAACCATATTTAGTACCTTTCATGGCTTTATTTTTATTTTTGTGTGAGAGCTTAAAGAAATTCAATCATTCATATTCTTTAAAGTATTAAAAAATAAAATGGCACATAACTTATCTTAATATACGGTAGTATTATAACTTAATGTATGGTAATATAAAGCTTAAAATGTTTTGACAGAAATTCAGTGAGTAGACTAAGGCAAAACCTTTTGTAGCATCTAAAAATAATATTTCTGTTCATCAAAGTAAGCAGTGAATATATCTCATGTGAGCAGAAATTTTCCACTGGTGCAGGTTTGGACAGATGACAAAATTTGTGTCACCCTGACCCACAGATATCCGTGTGGAAATGCTAAATCAGGAAGAGGGAGTAACCTCAACTTTTCACTTTCTGTATTTAATTGACAAATTTTTAAGTCACATATTGACTGGATGGTTGTCATTTTTACACACACATATTTAAGCTTGAGCACCCCTTTAATCAGTACTCCGAATTTAATTCAAAACAGACAGTTACGTGAATGTTTAGAGGATAAGCTAGCAACCTCGAGAAATCTTATTCACTACAATCAAAAAGATGATCATCAGTGCGTAAGGAAAATTGCATGAAGAAAAAACGAAGACCCCAACAATAAAATTTAACCTAAAAATAACCCCCCCCAGACTTCCCCCCCAGACAATTGCGGTTCAATCCTCTCCATGACACAGTACACACTGTTCTCTTTTAGGAGAACAAGAAAGGTGCAGGAAGAAATTTCTGGCTGCAGACTGTGTTCCTGCAGAGTTGGCACCTGTGAGTAGGGGTACACCCAGTGAGAACACAGTGTTCCATAACAGCGGAGTGCAAGGGGGGATTCTCAGACAGATGCTTTCCAGGTTTCAATGGCAAGAATGAGGCTGTGTTATTTATAAGTGCTCTCTGTGAAGCATTGTGAACACTTTGCACTTCGTGAGCTCATACTGGTGTAATGGAGCCCACAAAAATCTAAAAAAGTAGATATAAAAAAAAGAGGACCACTGTAGATATGAACCCAGGCTTCATGCCTCAGAGTATCTGTAAAGTCATTTCTGTGTCAAAGAGTTCAAATCAGCAAACAGAAGAGACATTCCTCTTCAAACTTGACATCTCGACATTTCTCTGGAAACGCATGCATGCCCTTGCACCTAATACTGTTTCCCGACAAACATTTCATGCGCACAGTAGTTCGTTCCATTTCTGCCAAATAGTTTATTTTGGTTTTGATCTTCAGATAAGTAGCGCAGGAACAAAGGCTGGAAGTAAAACTCCTTTGACTATGTAAGCTTTGTATTTAGAGCCACACATTAAGACGAGTAAGTAGAGACAGAGCAGACTGGGTTCACTTCACTGAGTCAGTCAGTGATCCAGCGGAGACAGATAAGAGCTTGAACTGCAAGTCAGAATCTCAGATAAGAGGACAGGAGGAAGTGCAATCTACTGGGGTCGTGTTCCAACCATACATAAATCCACATAGACACGCAGACACACACACACACACACACACACATCTATTATCTCACACAATTTTTATCCAAAGCCTCCCTAGCAACAAAGACCAGAATATTCAGGCCTGTCTGTTTGGTTGTTCTCCAACTCTGCATGCCCTACCTTCCTGACAGTCAGCTTTCATCAATCACTAAAAAGCCACACTCTTCTGCTGTGAGAAAAGAACAGAGGGGGGTTTCATCCTTAAAACCCTTAACTCTCTTAGTCTGTAAAAAAAAAAAAAAAAAACTACACTCCTTCACTCCCTAAGTCTGTGAAACAAGTTATGCACAAGTAAAATAGTTGCAACACTTTCAAATAATGTTTCAATGAAAGATGGATTTGGTTAACTCCTTTCATATGAACAGTTCAAACTAAATATTTACATAGCCTGCATAAAATAATATACAGTCATATTTAATACATTTTAATAAATGCTTTCTGATGAGACTTGTCAGATTAAAAGTACCTTTTGAAATTAGCAACCTTTAAGCAGGAATTAAAACTACCTGGCATTAAGCACACATCTCTGCAATTAAATGTATAATGTATGTAATCTGTGATATAAAAGTTACTACAATCATGAATTATTTTGTAAGACACTGCATGCATGATTACATGTAATTGTTATCCATACTACTATGCAAAATGTCTTGACTACCTTTTAAGATGTGGAATAAGAAGTCAAATACTTCAGTACAGTAATGGCCATTTAGTTTAGTTTTTTCAGTGATGCTCAGTAGTGATTAAAAATAAATTATTTGACATGCAGGAAAAACAAAGTTTAGTGTCTCTTACAAAAAAATAATTATTTGAGTATTCTTTCAGAACGCAAGGCGAAAACTACCAAAGAATAAAACGTTTGCATTTAAACAGGAAAAAATAAAGGATATTTAAACGGAATAAAGGACTTCCTGCAGGTGAAACTAAGACATACAGTAACAGCTGATGGTGGACGGCAGCGAGGAGGAAGGCCCTCCCCCTGCCAAAGGGATCAATGCACATAAATGGAAAGGGTCACAGACCTTTGACATCTCTTTTAAGCGGGGGGAGGGGCACAGGCTTTTGTCACATTGGTTTTAATGATCCAATTGTCAAGTGTGTCATACAACTTTATATGTCCCCAACAGTTTGATTCACATTTCACCTCACTGCATATCCATTTCATAATTATATCACAGCCATAGTTTCAAATCTTAAGGATAAAGATACAAAATATTTCTCCATATTTCATATCATTTCTGTTCAGCTGCCTTGTTTAGCTTTTCATCACTCCCACATCTGTTTATCCGTTTTCACCCTTCTCTTCCCCACCAAAGCCTCCCTGTAGCTGAACTCCAGCCCTTATCAGTGCTTTCACTCCCTTGGACTATTTGATGCATTTCTTAGCACAGATTTAAACACTTAGATAGGCAGGATATGCTTACATTTTATTCATGCTTCCACTGAACTCATATCAACAACGAGACTTGGTCCATCCATAAATGAGTGTTTCCAGATGCGCACTCCGGGAGACTAAGCTGTTCAAACTACCGCTTCTGACTAACACAGAGTGATTTACAGGCACTGAAGGTTTTCTTTCATTGATTTGGACCCAGACATTTGCAGTGAACACAATGTTCCTGGCTTATTATAAAAGGCTTAATGTTTACAAGAATGCATGTGGAACACATTTAGCTCTGCAAATCAGAGTAGAAAGGCTCTTTTCATTTTAGTGTTTGGTTAAATATCAACTGATCTATAACTACCTAAATGAGTTCATTGGATATCAATTTCAGTCTTCCTCACACTCAAAACTGTTACCATAAAAGTGGAGAAAGATACTGAAATTTGTAAAGGGGGCTATTTGTTTTTATTGCAAGCTGCGTGCAAAACTTTTCACAGATGTAATTTTATTTATTAGCATGCCTGGATTTTGAATATCACGTGAAGACTGGAAAAAAAGATGCTTGATTTCTTTCAGAAGAGATAGTTTGGGTCCAAGAATGATTCCACATCCAAACTGAACATGTTTTGTTGCAAGTTATAAAAAACACAGCAGAATTTTCCAGTTTTTTTTTTTTTTTCAAGCTAGTTACTATTAGTCAAGCCACTGACAATGGATTTCTATTCAATTTATGCAGATAAACTCTACAGAATCATGTTCACAAGCAGTTTGTGAAGTACTATGTGGTTGATGACTTATAAAAACTTTAACTTCCGCCATGTTTTGATTGAATCCAAGGCTACTCTGAGTTTTTTTTTTTTTTTTTATATTCTGCGTCAAGATTTTGACATCTATCCTTCTTGTACTTCTGGGATATTGGATGATATGCCATTTCAGTATAAATAAAACATATTAAAAAAACTGATGTTAAATGTATAAGCTACAAGTCTCATCCGGAGATAAATTAATTGCAAATGCACAAAATAGCGAATGGACAAAATGATTAGCTCTGACTAGCTCCATCATATTTTTCCCCACAACATAAAGTCGTTTTATTGAGATGTTGGAAGTAGTTCCTTGTGTTCAGTAAATCACAGAATCAAGCTGCCTCTACTTGTTGCTATCCACTGCTATTAAGTGAGTTCAGCTCAGTCGCTGTGCTGCAGTGCTAACTAAGATTATTTGGCCGAAGTTAGGCTTCTAAACAATTACTTTACTACAAGAAAGACACATTTGACTGCTTGGAAATATTTCTGATAGCACATAACAATAGACTCCAGTGACATGGGACACAAAAAATACTGAGGGGATTCTTCCATTTTTAGTTTCTTTACTTAAAAGTTTCTGACACAGTAATACATTTGGTGTAAATTTGCAACTGTTTTGCAAGATTTGTTTAGGACAATTCTTTGCTAATATGGGTGAACAGCTTGCTTATGCATGTTTAAATCACTAGCTGTATTTATTCATTGTTTTACCAGAGCCGTAATGAAGTGGACCGGGAGGAGGAAACACATTATGATCCGACACCAGTAAGCTTAAGAATCCACCCATCTTCTGAAAGCTGGGGAGCTTCACTTTAGGAAAACTACCAAAGATCTGGAAAATGTACTGATTGGTAGCATCCTTGTAATTAGTCATATTTTTCAGTTTGAAAACTGCTTGTTTGATTTGTTGGCTTTAACTTGTTCCCTAGGTTGGTTTACTGTTGTTTGAGAGTATTGTCTACTAATTTTTGTTATGTAACCTTGGCCTTTGTGCATATACCCCACTGTGTGTTCATTGTTAGGTAAGGTCAGCTATGTTTGTTTTCCTTAGTTGTGTTTGGCGAAGTTGACCTCCCCCAGCCGCCCCCACCCCCGACCGAAGTCTTGTAAGTTTTTGAATTTTTTGCTTTTCCATGGATTTTGTAAATGTGTTATGATAAAATTAGAGAGAATATGTTTTTTATACATTTCTTCATGTTTCACACTGCTTTATCTAAATAAATAAACAAAATAGATGATCATATTCCATTTATTCAAGGCAAAAGCCAGCCAAGCCACAGTTGCCTCCTTTGTTAAATCATTAACTTTGATTAACCACATTTTTTGGATAATTTTACCTCATCACACCACAGGCTAAGACTAATCCCAGACATAAAATCTGAGGGAAACATGAAGAGATCTTAAAAAGCAATGCAACAAGCTACAATTTAAAGAAATTGAACTACAGATGAGAAATTAAGTAATTAGGGTCTAATGGCTTTTGAGGGGGGGATGCTTTGCTGCTTCAGTATGTGCAGTTTTGTACATAATGATAATGCAATGACAGTTCATTATACTGTGTAGCTCTAAATAAACCTAATTTAACTGAAAAGATTGAGAAATAATGTGTTTTTTCATTAAGAATTCTTGAAATTCTTGTGAGCATGAAGTTGTTTAATTTTGGCCAATAGTTATGAAACAGCATCCAAATAAACAGTATAGAGTTAGATATTGTTCTCAGAAGATTTTGACAAAGTTTAGCTGTCTTCACTTTATATGTTATAAGGTTTAGACATAACACAGATTAAATGATCCAAATAGTGATATTTAACCTTAATGCAATTCATAAATACTTTAACTGCAATAACGTGCCATGCTTTATGTACTAGCATAATCCATTTTTGATATTTTCTGCAGACATCCCTGATTTCTTCTGACATCTGAAAAATACCTCATGCAGCATTGACGTTTGAGGAGTTATTTTCAGGCCACAGGTTTGTAGCAACAGCAGTGAAAAAAAGCAAAATCCCAAAAACACCATCTTAACTCCAGGTGTCGCAATTTCATAAATTACACCTATTTTAAGGACAACACCTGCTTTCTCTGTTTTGTCAAAAATGCAAGAAACAAAAATCACTGACCTCCCTCTAGCTGGGATTTTGTACGCTGTGCCATCTGCAGTCGTGATCAGAAAAGACCACAATCAAAGACAGGTATTTAAAAGAAACAACTACCTGTACTGTCGTGCAATCCCTGTGGTTCTTTTGTAACTTAAATATTACAATTTGTCTGCAAAGGTGTTTGAAAACCAAGGTTCTGACTCATAAATCAACATATAAAATTGACATGTTTTTGGAGTTGACTGGAAAAAAACCCCATGTAAACAGAAACATAAACCAGCGTTAAAGACAGCAATGCAAATCAATAAGTTTCTTACAGTACTGAGCAGATCTAAAAGTGAGTTTTCATGCGTGGGTGTGCCTTAATAAATTACTTTTTTTTTTTTATGAACAAGCATTTTTTTTTCAACATTTTCCTCCAAAAAAGAAAAGTGAAATAAGCAGCAAAATCAGAGTCCTTATAAAAGGTAAAATGTATTGGGAGAGAATGAGAGAAAATAAATCAATCTGTTACCGTGGTGACAACTGTCTCATACACAAATGGATGTGAAATATTATCCATTGTTAAGCTTTTTCAGAAGAGAAGTGACACACGACATTTTTGAGACACTTTTTTTGCTTTACAGCTCATAAAAAAAAAAAAAAGTCAGGTCAAAACTACATAAAGGAAGTAAAGTTGATTACTGTCCACTATGGTTACAAAAAATGTTTTGTAACTGTTTTTGTAACTTTTTTTTCAAGGAAATTTGTGAATCATGTCACATTCTTAACTATGGAAACCAATAACATATCTAACTTGAAGCGATATAATGACCAGAATTTGACTACACAATGCATCGTTTTCAGAGCACATGCAGCACTATTGTTTTGCCATTTTGAAAGGGCTTTAACACAGCAATCCGGCACCAGAGCTGCTGATTTTAAGCGCTCCAACAAAGAAACGCAAGGACAGAGACGTCAAGGCTATTCTAAGGGAGAAAACCTGTCCGCTTGCAAGAGTGGTGTCACGGGGCCTTACTTATCTCCTCCCAGATTAAGTCCCAATTGTTGGTCAGGAACAAAGGCGGTCAGTGAGGAAACCAGCCCCCCAAAGGCCAGATGGTCAGCGTCCACAGCCCCCCTCACCACCTGACCCCTCCAGCCCTCACTCTCTGTGACAGGGCTGCACGTGCTTTCATCAAGACAGGCCACCCAGCTAATTCACAACGCTCACCAAATAACAATAATACCTGCGTGATTCAGGGCAAATAAAGAATTCTTGCATTTTTATTGATAAACGCTGAGGTGTAGAATGCCAAAAAATAAATATAAATTTTATATCATATTGAATATTAGTGATTTAAATTACTTATTTACCTAAATATCTTACCTAGATATTTTGATTAGAACTTTGTTCAGTAATTAGCTTTTATTATTTCTTGAGTGGTCTCCAGGGGTTGGTTGTATCCATTAATCAACTAATTCAAAGTTAAGAACTTTCATAAGTTGTCATAGACAAAATATGTAAGTTGGATTAAGAATTTAAGTTTGTATTGCGCCGTAGCCCATTTAGTGAATCTGCTGAAGCTAAAGTCACACAAGCTAGCAAGCTAAGCTTCTAATCCCTCAGGCAGTTGTTGCTAGTGAATAGCACATGTCTGCTGAGGTTATCATAGAAAAGGGTTCAAAGGTCACCTTATTGGATTTTAAAAAGTTTAATTGCTATTTTACTGTTTTATGCCTTATTTTATTTTATTTTTGTATTTCCTATTTACCTGGGAGAACAAACCGCTATGAAACATGGTAAAGCCAGTGTTAAAAATTAACCATTAAAGTCATTTCAATTTTAGTTAAGGAGTTTAGCTCATAAATGTAATGTTTTATAATTATTATATATATCTAGATATTAGATATTTTATATCTAACAAAATTAACTACTTTGTTTTGCTAGCATGTCCTGGAGTTGAAACTTAAGATATAGTTTCAGTAAACTATTAGCTATTCTCATCTATTATGCAGAGTCCAGCTATGCTCACCAGTAAGGCTAATATGTTCATATCATTTGTACTATAGATTAATATGTTAATTTAGTAAAATTTTTAAATGATCATAACACATTTTAGGCATACATACAGTACATTATTAGAGGAATATGTTACAGTTTTTCTCAATAGCTTTGGCATGTATGTCAGATCAGAACTGAAATTCTCAAAACTGCTTGTTCAACCATAAAATCATTGTCATTTGTTTCTCATTTCTTTGAGCATGTGTCCTACGTTTTCAAATGTATTATATGAATAGCCTCAGTCTCCACAACATTTCAGCATAAACGTGTCATAAAATCTCAAAATTAAAAAAAGAAAATGTTTGAACAAGTTGTAATAAGTCAAGTGTATTACTATGCATTTCAATCATTTTTTGTCCTGCATTGATAAATTGCCCCCAGGTGAATCCTGACTTTCTCCGACGTAGGCAAATGTATGAAGCATTGGATCAACCAACGATTAATCTATATTCTGAAATAGCTCAAAGGTTCATGAACCATCAATGGGAAAGTATATAGTGTATAGAGGCAGAGTACAACACAAAGCTGAACTTCTGACAATGGAAGAACAAAGATTTGGATGGGGTCAAATCCAGAGAGAAGAAGAAGAGGAGTGAGAATCTGGGGAGAAGGAGTCAGGAGGCAAAACAGAGGAAGAGGCAGAAGAAGTGGAGGACATATGCCAGTTTCCATTGCTCCAATATCGTCAGGCAATAGTTTGCCACCCACAACAAGATGCTGGTAGCGTTCCCCCTACTCTTCATTCCTTAGCCCCTTTTAGAACATTTTCTTAGTACGGAGATGGAAAGTGCATGATTGCCAGCCACATACACAGATGACCTTTCTGGCTGCCATGTGTGATGACTTTGCAACAGATGCCTGCTGAGGCTAGATAAGACACTCTAATGAATTGTTTCCACAAGATCGCAAGAGAAGATATTTGTTGTAATGCAGAAGAGAAATTGTGGCGCAACAGCCAGGAAGGTCAGGCGTTGTAGGAAGACTGCACTGTAATTCCAACAGCACTGCAAAAGTTTTTGTTACAGCTGCAGTATGTAACTTTCATAAAAAACACTTTTTTTTACAGATTTGTTAAAAGTGTCACTATGTCCTGAAAGTATAACATGAGAGAGAAAAAAACATAGCTTGTCTGCCTTCTCCCTGTGGTTCTACTCCCATCTGCATAAATGTACCGCTCCCTTTCAGAAACAACCAATCAGAGCCATGAGTATGGTTTTAGCGTTGTCAATCATGCTCGTGTGGTGTTTCTCAATGTGTTAATGGCGGAGAAACAACTTACTATTACAGGAAAACTGCTTGTCCACTGTGGCCATGCTAACTAGCCTGCGCATTCATGACATGCTCTGCTGTGGGGAAGACACAGCAACCTAGTAGAGAGAAAGGGTTTGAGCAATGCCTACACTAGGGTGATTGACAATGCTAAAACTCCCCTCCTGGCTCTGATTGGTTGTTCCTGACCAAGTGAAATAAGTGTAATGTATATACGGAATTTACGAAATTCACTGATGTGTCTTGCAGCTGTGATCGTTCTATTTGAGGAATATTTAATGTCTTTTGTAAATGTATGCAAATGATTGCACCAGTTTCATTGCTTTAATTCTAACAGCTTGTTTTACAACAGCTTGTGAAAATACGTAAACTTATCAGTCTCCATAAGAAATGGCTCCACGTGGAGTAACAAAGAGAAGCAGTTTTCATAAACATAAATTAAGATAACCAATGTATGATAACATGCTGGAAATAAAAGCTAATAAATCAAATTTATGGAGAGAACAAATAGATTTATAGATTAGAATTTTCCCAAGAGTGACAAAGCTCTAAAGACATCTTCTCTGCACTGTCATCTGATAGGATTTTATCTGTGTCTGTTTCAACACAAGCCTTAGGCAACTGCTGTTTTCTGCAGACAAGCACTTAAATTAGTGCTTTGGCTCCAGACCTCGTATACTTGACATGACTTCATCAGCAATGAGACAACACAGGCAGAATCAATACAATTTCCTCCAGCATGAAAATTGTCGTTGCACATGAAAACTAACATTGGCAACTTAAAACGCTTTAGGCTGCCAGGGGTCGGTTGCATACACAGACTTGCAGTCTGACCTAAGTACGGCAATAAGGCGAGGCTTCCTAAACAAATGAAGAAAAACTGGTTTTTCAAAGCGAAATTGGTGCATCAGAAACAGCAAGAGAAAAGTTGTCCTATACTTTTAAACGGATTGTGCACGACAACCTTGTTGTTTTTATTAACCTTTTGCAGTCCCTCTTCTCTGTGCGATCATTTAACATTTTCCGACAAAATCTGCGGATGAAAGAAACTTTGGCTGACAGACTGCTTGCGCGCGACCACCGTCCTGACAGCCTCACGGTCGGGCAAACGTTAAATGTACGTGACATTTGTCACACTTTTAGAGCAAAACAGCCAAGTGAAAGTCTTACCTTGCGGATACTGGAAGCTGTTACGCGGCCATGTCCGTGGAAGGTCGCGTCTGTGAGCGTGAAGTTGCGCCCCTGACTCAAGACGCCACCATCACCATCGATGCTGCTCCGGACACAGCTGATCTGCGCACAGTCAGCTACCGGCTGACGTCAGGACTGCACTATTAGCGCCGTCTGGGTCAGTTCAGCGGATATTCCGCTCACTTAGTTTAGAAAATTATAAGGACACAAAAACCAAATAGCAGGCACAAACACAATAAGAGGTAATTACATATATTTTGTTCTTTAAAGAAATATTCAAAAGCTAAAAAACAAACAAACAGCAAAAGATAGATAGATAGATAGATAGATAGATAGATAGATAGATAGATAGATAGATAGATAGATAGATAGATAGATAGATAGATAGATAGATAGATAGTCTTTAAAGACTGTTATTTACTACAACACTAATGCTAATATGACTTCCAAATATTTGAAACACTGATTAACACCTTGGGGACTTATGTTCAACACAAGTCAGTAGATGCCCAAAATTTTCTGTAATATTTAAGGATATATGGCTATTACGTCTATACAATAATGAAATTATAATTACTAATTAAGTATGAGTTTGCTACCAGTAAACCTAAAAAATCCAAAGGGCATAATATTTCCATTACTACTACTACTACTACTACTGCTACTACTACTACTACTACTACTACTACTACTACTACTACTAATAATAATAATAATAATAAACAAGAAATCCTCTGATCAGGCTTTTCTTGTGCAATACCGATTTCTTTTAGGTATGACCAGCCAAGTTCACTTTTGACTGATTCTATTTTCCCCCCTAAAGTTAATACATATCCAAGGAGAAAACATACGTTTGTTTTAGAGGTATTAGATGCTAAGAAATAATAATAATAATAATAATAATAATAATAATAATAATAATAATAATAATAATAATAATAAAGGAATAACAAGGTCATCTTCCAGTTTATGGATCAACATGTCCATAGCCTACATGTATTGTTTATTTGTTTGAAAAAAGTGCGTCAAGTATCTCTGTCCCAGAAAAGCTAAAGTCATGAACCTGATTCAAATTCCCTTTTTTTTTAAGCGAGGTCATGGCATAATTTGTAAAACACCGCCATCTACTGGCCATAATTAATAATGCCAATATTTGGCATTTGAACATTTTTTTGTTTGTTTTTACACATTGCAAGTATCTCATTGAATGGGGAATTCGGCGATGCATGAAACAAACAAGGGGTTAGTTACTAAAAAAAAAAAAAAAAATCTGTCAAGTGAAACCGAGCTATTTGTTAAATTGCGGTGAGCAATAATAGTCTCCGGTTGAGGGGATTTTATCACTCACGCCACAAAAGCAAAAACTATAGTCAAGAATATTTTTTTTAACAAAACAATAACATTATCATTTTCGGATAATGTGAGCAAAAACGATAATGTTGGAAACTGTCCTTAATGTTTTGGGCTGTGCTGTTTCACCGTTCACCAGAAAACCATATATGGTTTAAATTACCGAAACAAACAGGAAATGGATGAATAGGAAATCTGAACCAGATGAAGAAGTAGAAGCTATTGGTTTGTTGAAAATTACGTTAACGTGTTTGATTATGTCCGCTTTTTAATAAATTAAATTTAAAATCGTACATTGAAACATTTGAGATTGCAACGTGTTGCATCTGCGAGTTCTTTCAGCGAGGCTCAACTCATGCGCATGCGCGCTGTGCTTGACATTTTGAAGCTGCTCCTCCGGGGTGTTTGAACAGGAAGGCGGACATGTTGGCCGAGCTGTGTGAGAAAATTGTGCACAGTATGCGATTGTTTTCCGAAAACTAACACACATATTACGTGATTCCTATTTATATTCAGTGTGAGAGCTCTTGCAGTTCGGACGGGGGAAACAGCCGCCACTCATTGACAGCTGAGGGGACCTAGAGGAAGGACTGCCGTTGAAAACGTTATAGCGACTCCGTGTTTAAACTTCGAAATTTGGAAGAAGCAGAAGTTTTTCCACCACCACTTCTACTTTTGAGCTGTCAGATTGTGGCTTTCTGCAGGGGCCTGGTACAGCTATGGGAGCACGCCTGGATTAGTCTTCCCTCTAACTGTTTATTTTTGAACATTGCATTTACTTATAATTGCCTTTTGTTTGGAACGTTTTAAGCCCTTATCCTCAGCTGCATCCTACGGAGGTTGTCTAATCTGTTGCCGCATTTATCTTTGCCACTGAAGTTGTTTGCCACTTGTACTGAGAGGGGGACACCTTCCCCGACTTGGAAAATGTGGAGTGGTAGGTGCCACCTTAACGCCTTGATTGTCTGTGGAAGCTGTGGGACACCGATGCATTTTCTTTGAGGTGCGGTGTAAAGTTCACACGAAGAAAGGGACGTTTGGCTGGCTAGCTACCACTGGCTAACGTTAGCTAGCTAGCCAGCTTTCTTGCCTCGCCAGTGAGCTGTTTTTGTTCATAACCCACCCTCGGGACTGTACTTGACAGCAAAGATGAGCGCAGGAGACGCCATGGCGGCTCGGTTTGAGAAAATCGATGCCATGTTACAAGACCCCAAGTCGGAAATAAACACGGATTGTCTACTGGTAAGTTTGTAGCTTGTTAGCTAGCCTTGTTAGCTACCGCTCTTCGGGGTCAGTCTACTCCTTGGAGCAGAAATTATTTCCGAGACCGATAGATTGTCTCAGTTGTCACTCTACAAAATCCTGATATTAATGTCTATTTTGTTCACATGTTAGATCGAGTTCAGACATCTACACGTGATTTTGCGTTAAATCTAGACCTACTGCATTAGTTCAAACCTGTTTTCAGACAAGAATTTTAAGTTGGAATCATAGTGCTGAAAACAACAGACTCGAATGCTTAATTTCGTGATTTGATCTTTCCCAGTTGATTCTGGGAAAGATCAAATCACATTCCACGAGGTATAAAATAAGCAACTTGGAGAGTGTTTTTGTTTTGTTTTGCTTCATGTTATTTAATGTTTTATTTAAAAATAGTATAGGTGTTATTATTCCAAATATACATGTATGGTGTGTTTTTAAATTATTGCGGTCTTACTGCAATACACCATACCATGCTTGTTTTTTTAGATCCCATTGCTCATAAGCATTTACTTTTGATGGGCTTCTAAGCACTCTCACCAGTAGCAGTGCAAAAGTCAACTGCATACACTTGTTCTTGATGCTGTTTTGGGATTGATTAAAAATCAGAGAGAGGGGTCAGGGCTGTCTGCTGTGGTGCATAGTGGGAAATAATATTCCAATTGTTTTATTTGGTTTTTGACTTATAGCTACAACCTCAATCAAGAGAGATGTAGTACTTTTTTTGTGCAATAGCCCTCAGTAGAAAACATAAGAATCATGAGGTCAGGCCACAAAGAAAACCAGAAATCAGTGTCCACTCTGAAAACCCCAATTGGTGCATCTCTAATTGCACCTATTTACATGTTTGTTTTTGGGAAACAAATCGGGAGCCCTCCTTATTTGGGACGGTCTTCAGTGTATCTGGCCAAACTGCAAAAATAACCAGGATCGTTATTGTTGTATTATTTCTTTGTTTTGATAGCTTTGCTAATATGTGTGTAAAAATATAACCTATAAGGGGATTAAGCAACTTGAAATAATACAGTTTTTATGTCAGTTATGTCAGAGATAGTAATGTTGTCTTTAGGTAATGAGTTATTAATGTTATTTGGATCGTTATGAAAGGAACATTTTGTCTGAATAAACTTATGTTAACGTGATGCAAAGCAATAAACCAAGTTTAAGCCTGATATATCCTTCAGGCCTCCTGCATCACTAGGTGTACCTGCCTACTTCCTGTCATCTGGGTGACAACTCTTCTGTTTGTGGTTGGAAGGCGGGTGTTGCCACGTGCTAATCCCTCAAGCACTCCTTCATTGGGATTTTTTTATGACGGCAAACTTGGGAACTCTCTCACTCATTGTAGAGTGAATGCCAAAGGGAATCTTGTTGTCACACGACTGTTGATATCACAAATATGCCAGTTTGGATGACAGTGGTACTACGTGTTTTCACAGTGATGTGACTCATGGGAGTGTTTCTGCTCATATGTTTGTTGGTATTCTGGTATCTGGTGGCCAATTAGGTGGAGGGGACAAAACTTACCAAGACTATCGAATGATTCATGCTGCAATTCTGGTTTTGGAAGGGGGAAAAAACAAGTAAATCTGAATTTTCAGTGAATTAAGTACTATATGAGTGTTTGTTTACAATAGTACTATTGTAGTCAATTCATACCAAGCTGAAATCAGATATTTAGGTACACTTTAAAAAAAATATATGTATTTTTTTATTACTCTCGGATATTCGCTTCTATATCCATTTGTTTTTCTCAAAATAATCTCTGTTTGCTAAATGCCAGAAATATTAACCGGTGCTACATGTTTTGTGTCATTGTCCATTTTGAAGACTCTTTGTCCAAGCTCTTATTTCCTGCCGAATATATAGAAATATTGCTTAAGTATTTATAAGATTCTCTCATCATGATGCCAAACATTTTAAGAAGTGCACCAATCCCTCCTGCTGCAAAACAAGCCATCAACGTTACGGTGCCACCTGCAGCATTAACTTGGTATTCTCATGCTTGCACGCTTCCTTTTCCGTCCACTGTAGCACAACCTTATGCAGCCAAACACTTCAACTGTAATTCCATCAGACTCCAAGAGACGTATTTTAAATTAAGGGTATTTATCTCCGAGTGTATTTGGAAACTGTAAATTAATTCACAGTAATAACTGTGAATTGTTACTTTTGGAGTAATAGTTGCTTCTTCACTGAGTGACCCTTCAGTCCATGTCATCGTAGAACTTAATTCACTGAGGCCAAGAGCCATTTTTTTTTTTTGATTAGCTTCAAACCAGGATCTGCCCAAGGTGTTTGGTTTTTGTCATCTTTGGAATACAGAACTTGTCTTCTTCCTTAAAGGTCTGAAAATTCCCATGATGTTCACGGCTTCGTGCAATTGTTTGGACAGACGAACACGGCACATTGAGGCGTGTGGAAATTCTAATGAAGGAACAATTCTCTTGGCATCTAGCCTCATTTCTTTTTGATTTTCCCATTACATCAGACAAGGTAGCCGTGTGTTTAAATTACATTATCAGTCGTGACTCCGTTTAACTCGGAACATTTTTACATGATCAGACGCTTATAAAGCCATTATATAATCATCTGGGCTTTCCTAAAGTATTTAAAGGCTTAATAAAAAAATAAACTAAAGAGTAAAGAATGTTGCTGTTTGACAAGGATGAAGGAGTTGGGAGACTACTTACCAGGCAAAAGAACATCAAGGACAGTGTCCGTTGGGGAAAATGGGGGTTCACATTAAAACCCCACCCACATGCTCAAGTTGTAGTGTTTGTGTTACGAATAGGCGGCTTTAGATAACTGTCTTTAAACGAAAACGTGCATATTTTGTTTGACCTCCCATCATGTTTCAGAAAGACTATTAAACTCACCCAAAACTCCACAGGCTCCGCATATTTAACAGGGAAAACCTGTGGCCACTGTTCCTACTGCAAAGCCCCACACAAGGGGGCCGTTTATCGCTTTTTTTTTTTTTTTTTCTCTCTAGCGTTCTCACCCCTGATCAATGAATGGTGGTTTTTTTTTTTTTTTTTTTTTTTTTGCAGAGGCTCCCTCACTGCTACCATGCAACTCCACCCACAGCTTAATAAAATTCCATACTAATCAAATAACCTCTTGTCTTTGACTGGTCTGGAGTTCCCAGTGTGTCCCAAAGCCGTTCTGGAGAGAGAGTGAGCGTTGAGAACAGGCAGGCAGCTCTGAGGTGGCAGGGTGTGGGCTCTGCTTTTCTCACATAAACCAAAATTATGTGGACTGAAGGGTAAAGACTCGTGTTTCCGAGGGCTGTGAATCAGGCCGTTTTACTCATAAAGCAGCCAGAGAGCTTGGCTGTGAGTAATGGGTTTTATCAGATTGCACAGCTCTGGCCTTGTGCTGGCTATCCTTATTTTCCTGCTTATGCATTTTGTTTGAAGTGTCTTGATGTTGGAGTTGTACTTTTTCTTGCAAGCTCCGGGTGTTTAGTGTAAATATATTCAGCCTCTATGCACTGCCCAGCTTTAGGATGAGATGCGTCCCGTATTCTCTGACCCTCTTCCCTTATCTTTGTTGTTTAAATGAATCCTCCTTGTGGTGAAGAGTACGTCTGTCCAAGGTTCAAGCCCTTCAGTCTGTTTGGAGACACAGAAACTCACTGTTTTTCCAAGACTAATTTATATGGAAAAGTAAAATTTAAACTCTGCAGAGTACACATAGGATGTTTTTGTTTTGTTTGTTTTTTTGCGCTTTTTTTGTTTCCCATTTCTATTTAGACAGCATGACCTGAATTTTTTCATCTTCTAATTTTATACCGCTAGTTATGTGTTTAAAGTATTTTAACTGACTTGGCCTCTATTTCACATGTCTGCATGCTTCTCTGTTGTTACTTTGGCACTTTTCAGCTTTTTAGCCGGTCTGTGTTTATCCTCCTCCAATCTCTGATTTGGACTTTAATTTTGCAACAGGAATAATTACAGGAAACAGCAAGGCAAGGAAACCAGATTTCAATGTAATGATCGTGTGAGCGCTGTATATGTTAGGTTGAAAGGACTGGAAATAATGAATAGAAGCTGAAATTGGTCCAAATCATCTGCACTTATATTTGTTCAGGTCATAGTTACTGGGCAAGAAAGTTCAGTTAGAATTAGTTTTTTTTTTTTTTTTTAAGAGTTCATATGTTTGTCTCGAATTAGGTCTTTAAGCACTGATCAGTTTTTGTGAGTAAATTCATTTATGCAACATATCACAATGCAACTGTAGATTTTTAAAAACAAATACTCGTTGCTTGAAGTTATGTTCTGAAACCCGTCTGTGGCATACCTCCAAATTTTCCTCCGTTGATCTATTAAGGCCTGGCATGTCTTACTCATGCTGAATGCCTTCCTTGTCTCTGCAACCTTTGCCTTTAATAGACAGCCCTAACCCTTAAGGTGGTGTCCGTGCTGATAGTGCAGCAGTGCCTGAGTTTGCTGACAGATCTGCACAGTTTTGACAGGGACCTAATGCAGTGTTGTCAGTTCTCTTAGTTAGCTAGCTAGGTTGTGGTGGTGAAGTCGGTTGAATGTCAAGGGGAAATGCTTTTTATGTTGAATGTTATTACTATCTAATAGCTGTTTCTCTCTCTCTCTTTTTTTTTTTTTACATGTACAGGTGTGAAACAGCTAAAAATTAAAAGAAATATGTTTTGTTTAGTCTTTTTTTTTTCAATTAATAGCATATCTTCTGAAAGTCTGATTACGGACATGCTTTCATACATTCAGTTTGATTATCTTGTCATACTTTCCCTTTTTGTGAAGGTATTGCTATAACGTGTCATGTTATATAATATGAAGTCGTACCATCTTTTTAATTCCCATGGGTTACTTAAAGATGCCAGATATCTGGTCGGTTTTCACTTGGTTCGGATTATTGATTAGCAGGTCAAATATTGTATTTTTCCTATCATCTGTGATAAAACAAAGAGCTCTCACTATGTTTCATGTATAAATGCATCCACC